GACCAGCTCCTGGTTGAGGATGTTCACATCCGCGCTCCAATAGGTAGTAGTGACCATGGCACAGTCCTGTTCAACATGGTCACAAACGAAACGCTGACACTGGACGATAACGAGCCTTACCTTTGCTACAGTAGGGAAAACTACACACGCATGAGAGAGGTGCTCATACATGCCCCATGGCCACGGGAGTGGCGGAGGCTGACAGTAGATGATCACTGGCAAGCAGTGAGAGATATCATCCAAAACGCTGTCGTAGACAACGTACCTCAATCACACCCAAACCGCCAGAACAGAAGAACCTGGGTTAGGCGCGGCACGGAACGCTTGCTACAGGCGAAGAGGATAGCCTGACACAAGTGGAAGGTCTCCTTGAAGGATTCCGATCGCAGTTCTTACTTGGCATTCACGAACAGATGCAATACCAAAGTTCGAAGGGACAGGAGACTATTCCAGACGAAGCTAGCCGCCAGAATAGATGCAAACCCGAAACATCTGTTTAGGTTCATGTCGAAAAGAAAACCTACTAATCAAGGGTTGTGTTCCCTAAAACGGCCTAACGGAGAAGACCTCACCAACCTAGAGATGGCCGAGATCTTCAACACCCATTTTTCTGATCAATTAAACCAGGCGCCTACATGTTCAGAGTATTACGCCAACCCAATGCCAGCTGACGGCTTAGGGAACATCCGTATCACTCCTGACCTAGTATTAAGGAAACTAAAATCCTTACTCCTAGGTAAGTCACCAGGTTGTGACAAAATCCGCCCTATAGTCTTGCAACAGTGCGCTGAAGCCCTCTGTTCACCATTATGAAACCTGTTCAGGCATTCACTGGAGTCACACCAATTCCCAGCCTAATGGAAACAAGCTACTCTCTCTCCAATCTTCAAAGGAGGAGATAGAAAGGACCCAGCCTGTTACAGACCAGTCGCACTACTACCTATATTATAGAGGTTATGGAAGGACTGGTGGATGAACAAATGAGGGAGTACATGGAAAAGGTTAACATACTCCATGATGCTCAACACGGGTTCCGGAAAGTCAGGTCGTGTGCATCTAATCTTCTCATCGCATGCGACAGTTGGACATCCTGCTTGGACCGTAAAATACCAGTTCACGTAGTATTTCTCGACATCGCAAAAGCCTTTGGCACAGTGCTCGACGCACGCCTAATCGAAAAGGTTTTGAGAATGGGCTTCACTGACCCACTCGTATCTTGGCTCGGAAACTACCTTGAGAATAGAAAGTTTCGCACCAAGGTAAACAGGGTGCACGCGAGTTAGAGAGTATCCACTTCAGGAGTTTCACAGGGGACTATCCTAGGCCCACTCCTCTTCCTGATATTTATTAACGACCTGCCAGGCTTAGTTAGCTCACCGGCACTGATCTACGCAGACGATGCGAAGATCTGGAGGTCCATTAGAAGCGAAGAGGATTCGACTGAGCTTCATAAGGACCTTACATCTATTGAGAAATGGGCAGTGAAAAACGGTTTAAAATTCAACCAACCGAAGTGCCACGTCATGCATTTCCTGCCTCATATGACGCAAACGACCTACACTCTCAATGGAAGTCCGCTCCCTAATGTCTCCTCAGAGCGCGATCTTGGTTTAATAACCACACAAAGCCTCCACACGAGTCCGAACTATGTAGGGGATGCAGCCAAGGCAAATGCGACTCTTCGCTTTATGCGAAGACAGCTTGGTGCTATCACCCCGAAATTATTTTTAACCCTCTTTAAGACGTACGCGCGCCCACACTTGGAGGTTCACAACGTCATCGCACCCCTTCTACTTAAAAGAGACATTAATCTCTTGGATCGAGTGCAGAGACGAGCAACCAAATGGGTAATAGGGTTGAAAAATAAACCGTACGACGACAGACTCCAGCTCTTGGGATTATTCCCACTGAGCTACAGGAGAATCAGAGGTGACCTGATTATGGCGTACACCATATTAAACACACCAAACCATCCCAATGTGAGCATCTTAACGATGCATCACCACCACTCCCCTCGAGGCTATCCTCGAAAGATTGCACACCAATGAGCAAATACTCAGATTCGTGCACACTTTTTCTCATTGCGAGTCGTCGCAACTTGGAATGCTCTCCCAGCCGAGGTAGTTTCAGCCCCCTCAGTGGACTGCTCTAAGAAGAGACTTGATAATCACGTACTCACATACGAAGTATCATCTCCCTCTTGGACAAGCTGTTCATGAATGCATATCTTGAGACCTGCTAGTTGTTACCATTGCCATCTCCTCAGATCACTCAATTAATCTATCTCGCCTATTATCTCTGTTTCATCTCCCTTGCTTTCATTTCGGTCCTCCATCACAATCCTCACTACCAATTAACAAACTAAATTCATCTATATATTACTCAGTTCTGAAATTTTATTCATATTATCATTAGAATTTTATCCTTATTACTCTCCACATTCCAACTAACTGATCTCCAGTTTGGTAATGGGACGGCTGCTAGTATCCAGAAACCCTACTACCCTGAAACAAACGTTTCATTCAAATCCCGAGACATACAAACTCACAACCAAGTGACTAGAATTAGACAGTCGAGTGGCTAGACCTCCATCCATTGGACTTTACCGAACACCTGGAACCTTACCGAAAGAACAAGAATCGAGCGCGAAGAAATCAAATTGGTTTACACTAGCTCGTGAAAAAGACATTGGATATTATCACTTTGTTTCTGACCGTATTTTTCTTCGAAGGAGTGTTGTATTCTAGTGAAGACATTGATAAAACAAATTCGGTAGAACTTTTGGGTTCCGACCTCGGTGACTTGGACATGTACGACGAATGTCATCCCAGTGGCTCCCACACTGTGCATTATTTGGTTATGTTGGGACTAATAAGGTTTTGCAAAATGGTTACTTCACGACACTGTGGTACGATAGAGAGCTGTTCAGAAATGGCATCTGTTTGTTCTCTGTTACTCCTTCGTTAAGTTAATTTTAAACGATATTGATGTCTTGAGAAGTCACCGGACTTGATTCTCAATGAAGGCAAGTTTTTGCTACTATAAGGATTCTTTGCTTTCTGCATAAATGTGAGAGCGGCCTCTGTAGGTGAAGGAATTTACTCTGCTTATATTTTTTTTCAATGTACATCTTTCAGCTATTACAATGCTATTACAATGCTCGCCTTCCCTTATTTTTCGCTAAATCACATTCCGTTACAATGTGAAGCATATTTTAAGTAAAATTAAGTAACTGGATTATTCTAACACGTTTTCTTCACAAAGAATGAGATTTTAATTGTAGGTAGTACATGTATTTGTATATATTTCTCACGATGCTCTGATTGCTTCCAGGCAAAAGAAACTTGACGATGCAGCTTTCTCGGATGAAGTGATTATCAAAAACACATGTGCTTCCTTGAAGTGCCACGTTCTCGACGCACAAAATTTAAAGACTACATGCACCAGAATGTCCAGTTGGCTGTTAAAAAATAAGAATGATTAAGCAAACTAGTCTGAAACTGAAATTAGTACAATGAACCAAACAGCTGATTAGGTCACCCTATTTAGCGTACATATATCGTCCGCATTTGAGAGTAGACTACTAGATTTTGAGGATGAACTCAACTAAATCTTTGTCTGAATGCAGAGTCGACCTCACAAGACCGAACTAGGCAACGTAAGTGTAGAAACTCTACTTATTCTGCCTGGCATTACAGTTATTTGGCGCAAACTGGGTAATTTAATCTAGAATATACAAATCACAGATTTTTTCAGGACTTTCTTGTAATTACAACAGAAATGTGGACACAGAAATAGCTATGGAGGGCCATAATTTAAAGTAGGTATCGGTTGGGAAATCAGCTCAACTTTTCTGTTATGAAGTAGTAATGAACACTTCAGTTATACTGTGGCTGAATTTATACATAAATTCCACTAACAGAGAGTTATTCAGGGTGTTGTGCGTCTCTTACGTTAACACAAAGACCAAGACACTAATATAGTAGTTCACTGGAAACTCAGTTGCTATTATCATGACTGGAGATCCCAACGTAGAGAGTCAAATGAAAAGATTTGCACGACAAATTAACTTAGTACCAGTTAAGGGGTAACAAAAGCGTATACTACGATCCGAAACTAATAAAATTCTAAATGGTTCACTGAACTAGTATTCATCCATCGCGTACCAGTTGAAGACGCATTTTATTCTTCATTGGGCACTGAAGTTTTGATCATTCAAATAGATTCTGCTTGTAATCGAAAAGCGATTATTCCATATCAATATTGCATGAAGGCTCCGAGATCCTGATGGAACAAATGACGTCTGTACCTACTCATGGTTGTGTATCTTCGATTGATTGTGACTCAGATACTTTTTCTTTGCTCTTAAACCTGGTATCCCTATTGGAGCATAGGCCTCTGAACTTCATTTTCCAGCCTACCTATTCAGACAAGGTAAAATATTTATTTCATGAGAACCTTTCCAATCTTCAAAAAGCTAAATGCTCTGATGCAGTAATAATGGCTAGTGATTTTATTGCTCAGGTAGGTGGATTAAGATAAACAGAAGGGAGCCTGTTCGGACCTTATGGTGTTGTGGCTCATCATACCAATAATTGCTACTATGTGCTGCATTTGTGGTTAGATAATCACATATTTCTAGCAAACACTAACAAGATCCACTATGACTTGTCAACAGAAGATACATTTGTTGACTTAGAATATATTGACGACATAGTTCTGTTCATTGAAGACGGTGACAAAATGGAAAGTCTTCTGAACATCTTAAAGAACATGTGCTAGTATGTTCAAGATGAGATTCTCCCTGTCGAGAGGCAAAATGTTACTTCAGGATTGGGCTGCATCGGCATCTCAGCTAGTGATAGGGAATGAAATAGTTAAGTCTGTCGACCGCGTTATTTATCCTGGGAGTCTCATCAGGATCTCATCAACTACTGAGCTGAAAGAAATCAACTAGCTAAAACTAGCTTGTGAGAAAGATATTGTATATTGGATTTCAGTTTCTCTAGGTTTCTTGTGGTGGCAATTTGACGTAGTGCGAATGGCGGTTTCTTGTAATGTCGCAGATATGTACGTCTCGGACATTTTTAAATAACATTTTCAGAGAATTTGACAAGAAAGAAAGTAAAATTCCATCTTGGTTCAGATGGTGTCGTACATCAAATGATCTTCTAAAATCTGCGGAGCAAAAATTGCTATCACGTATTTACTGATATACGATTTTAACATGTTATTGATACAGGAATAAAAAGCAATGTCGAGGCTTTTTTCGTGCCCATTTTCAATGGATCTTGCTACATTAGAACCTTCGTTTTCCGAAGTCATGAGTCCTCTCAAGAATCGTCCACAGGTAAACACATTGATGCGGACCGAGTCATTCCTATTGTGTTGATTCATGGATACGGTTCTGGATCCGCTCTTTGGTGTAAAAATATTGATGCTCTCGCCTTTTATCGCCCTGTGTATTCCATGGATGTTCTGGGTTTCGGACGAAGCTCTCGACCTTCTTTCCCGGTAGACGCCATCGCAGTAGAGGAGAAATGGGTCAAGTCTATTGAAGAGTGGAGATCTTCATTAAACTTGGAGAAGTTCATCTTACTTGGTCATAGTTTGGGTGGCTTCTTAGCCTGCTCCTATGCACTTAATCACCCTAACAGGTAAGTTTGTGAAGTGGTCCTAAAAATGAGTCACTTTACTTAGCACCTATTCCGCCTTCCATTTTTCTCGTTATTTAAATCAATAATTGGCCGTATACTGCCTTATCCTGTGTGCCGCGTTAGCATCTAAAATGTTTAGGGTTTACAGAATCCTATCATCTTAGCGAAAAATTTCAAGTAATGTAGCAGTAAATAAAAATTATCAGAGATGATAGTATCGGTCTTCCCCACACTAAATGTCCATTCATCACATTTGTGTACTGCGTTAGTTAGTCATGACGTGCCGCATCGATTCATTCGTATGGCTTTGAATGTATAAAATGAGCTGAACCCAGAATAAGTATACGATTGGGAATGAAATTACTCTGATTTTCTTGCAAAATAGATGAGTTCATACTTTTCGAGTGAGTCGCAGCTCAGCATATCATAACACAATACTTTAATCAAATTCTAGTCTACTGCTGTATCCTAGATCTTTAGAGTTTCATTTGTCGACCACTCAACCATCATGTGTATCTCCACTTATCGTTTTCTGTGAAGTAGTCGAGCGTGTAGATCACTTCACTTATCTTGGGAATCTCATCAGTGCTGACGGTCTGGTGACTGACGAAATCTCAGCTCGGATACAGAAAGCTCGATTGGCCTTTGCCAACCTGCGTCACTTATGGCGTAGGCGTGATATCCGTTCGCTAACCAAAGGGCGGGTGTACTGCGCAGCAGTTCGTTCCGTTCTCTTATATGGCTGTGAAACATGGCCGTTAAGAGTAGATGTTCGTAGGTTACTAGTATTCGATCATAGATGTTTAAGAAGCATTGCTCGTATATCGTGGGACAGCCGAGTAAGCAATGCTGTCGTTAGGAAACGAGTACTAGGTAAGGATGGCAGATCAATCGATGAAGTGGTGAAACTTCATCAGTTGAGGTGGTTGGGACATGTGTTACGTATGCCTAACCACCGACTGCCTCGACGAGCTATGTTTTGTGGTGTAGGAGTAGGTTGGAAGAAAGTTAGGGGCGGCCAAACCAAAACATGGCAGAAATCCATGAAGTCACTGACAAGTGGACTGAGTCATGTTGGTAGATGTAGACTACCTGGTTGGGGTCCGCGAGACGAAAGTCATCAATGGTTAGAGACCTTGAACGACATGGCTCAAAATCGTTTGCAATGGCGCAGGTGCATCCACTCTTTGAGCTCTCTCAAATCCCAATCATCTGGATTAGCCAGCACCTCTACCTTTGTCTTTCTAACCTTATCTCACTGAATTATATTTTTTGAATAATATCTTAAACCCTAGTCTTCTTTATTAACATTAATACCTCTACTATCTTTATCACTATGGGATTTGATTTGATGTTTCCGTCTCTGTGCTAATAATGTGGTATGGCAACATGAACTTGTGTACATACGTACGAAGTTCTACGTTGCAACTGACTGACTGTTTTCTGTGCAACTGTCCATGTATTTTGGCACTTGACGCAAGCATGAGACCTATCTGCACTCTTTAAATTTCGAGCAATCAAAGATATATTTACCTCTACAAAGATGTCGCCGTACATGGACCTAAACGATGTCTGTTAGTTCTTTTCTCAAATAATTTTGGCTTGGTTGCTAAATATCCAGTTTCCCAGTTCCCACATTGTTTTATTAAAGTATGTTCCACCTTTTCGACTTTCTCATTTTTAATTTACTGACTACTATAGATTAGTGATACAAACTCACAGAATTTAAGATCACCTTAGAATGTAAACTTAATTGTTCTAATGATTCTGTGCATCACTTTCACCTTACATTTCAGTTTAAACCTTTGCGTGAAGACTATAATTGTCGTGATAGGTAATTGGTATACTAGACTCTTAAGAGACGGGAATTTTCAAAACCAAAGCAAGTCAAATGACATTAAATCACATCAAAACATTCTCGATTGTCTAAAAGTGTAAACTAATGATGATTTATAGTATTTACCGCTTGAAATGTAAAACTTCAGTTCTCAGCTTTTATATGAGTAGTAATTTAATGTAACCTAACTACTCAAATGAGTTTTCGTATGAACTCGAAATGATCTCTAGTTGATTCCTAGACCTTCATGTATCTGGAAGTCCTGCTTCCTGCCTCGCTGCTGCAGGTATAGCACTGTTTCCTAGGGCAGAACTAGCTTTGTTAGACAGGATCCCAGTAGATAGTCGCTTGTGCCCTGTCCGACTAAACTGAATGGTAAGGATTCGGAAAGGTAGGGACACTCGCTGTTTCTTCTTCGTCGTCTCTACTTATATGAATGAGATGAGTTTTCATGTGTGCTTTTATCGCAAAGAAACCACCTAGGGTTCTACTTACTGATAGTAAAGCTAAGAATATATTTCAGGAGCAACTAGAAAAACAGGCAGCCATGTAGTGAGTGATGGCCATCCTGAGACAGCTTGGAATGATTTCCAGAAACCTGTGGAAACAGCAGTGATATCTGCTAGTAAGGTGAACCACAAGGTTGGGGAGAAGCAGTAAATTTCAATAGCATCTACCGAACTGATGGATGATCAAAGACTAATCCTGTCTCGCTCTGAATATGATGAAGAGCGAAGTCAGCTTAAGCGTAGGCTGATAAAAAGCCTACACAACGACCGCAAACAGTGGGGGGTGGCGAAAGCAAAAGCGATGGAAAAGGCATCCATCGGCAATGGGCAACAGTAGACAACTTTTCCGCCTTATAAAAGAAACCGGTATTACAAATCCATCTGTTAACGAAACCATCTCAGGAAGCGATGGGCTTATGATTCATTCTCAATCCAGGAGATTGGATCAACGGGCATAACACTTCAGGGATCAGTTCAAATGGCCTTCAGCCACACTTTGGGCTGCCCACGATCCCCAGTCATCCTGAATGGCAAATCGATTTCAGTCCTTCTAGTCTTTATGAAGTTGAAAAAGCGATAGGAAATCTGAAGCGAGATAGAGCAGCAGTGCCTGATAGGCTTACCCCTGAAATTTGTAAGGATGGTGGTCCAGTTTTAAAGGTTAGATTGACCGAGATCTTAGGTAGAATCTGGGAACTGGACATAATCCAATCTGACTGGTCTCAATCGCTAATTGTCCTTATTTACAAGAGAGGACAAAAGTCCTCTGGTGAGTATCACAGGGGAACCAGTCTAACTACTGTAGTTTCTAAATTGTTAGCCTCGATTATACTTAGACGCCTAACTAATGCTCGCGAAGAGCAGACTAGAGAAAACCAGGCTGATTTCAGACCTGGACATGGAGGTGTAGACCACATCTTCACACTACGACAGGTCCTGGAACACAGACACAGGCGTCCTACAATAGTTGTGTTTTTGGACGTTAGGGCGGCAGTTGACTCTGTGGATCGTGAGGTTCTACTCTAAAACTGCGGGTCGAGTGATAGCTTAGGGCAAACTGTCATCAGAATTCTTTACTTCAGGTTGTGTCCGTCAGGGCTGTCCACTCTCTCCATTCCTGTCCAACTTTGTCATAGACATGCTTTTAGGGATAACATTATCTTCGTCTAACTTTTCAGTCGTGGACCTTATATCAGGAGGCTCGCCTGTGGACTTAGAATATGGCGATGATATAGTTCTACTCAGTGAAGATGCTGACAAAATGCAGAGTCTTCTGACTACCCTAAGCAACAATGCAAGCATGTTCGGGACGCGGTCCTCACCCTCAAGATTGGGTTGCATCGGTACCTGAACTAGTGGTAGGCTGTGAAGTAGTTGGGAGTGTAGATCGCTTCATTTATCTCGGAAGTCTCGTCGGAGCTGATGGCCTAGTGACTGACGAAATCTCAGCTCGGATCCGTTCTCTTCGTCCTAATTTATGGGTGTGAAAAATGGCGGGTAGGAGTAGAAGATATTCTTAGCTTATTTGTTTCCGATCATATGTGTCTCCGAAGCATTGCTCGTTTATCTTGGAACGATTGAGAAGCCATGCTTTTGTTAGGAAACGAGTATATACTTTAACATTGTCCCATCCAAACAGATAATTTCACGGTCTGGGTTACATAAAAGTGCGATAATGCTTTTCGATATCAACTTGAGCCTAGCTTTACTGAATTTCTTTATTCTAAACCCACGTTGCTTTGTATCTAACGTTATTGTTGTTATCCTCTTTGAAGTTTTTTTCTAGGTGCTAGGTAAGAATGGCAGATCAATAGATGAAGTGCTGAAACTTCATCAGTTGAGGTGGTTGGGACATGTGTTGCGTATGCCTAACCACCGACTGCCTCGTCGAGCTTTGTTTTGTAGTGTAGGAATAGGTTGGAAGAAAGCTATGGGCGGCCAAACCAAAACATGGTAGAAATCCATGAAGTGATTGACAAGTGGACTGAGCCATGTCGGTAGTTGTCGACTACCTGGTTGAGGTCCGCGAGATGATAATAATCGATGGTTAGATACCCTGAATGACATGGCTCAAAACCGTTTGCAATGGCGCCAGTGCATTTATTCTTTGTATTCTCTCAAATCCTAATCTTCTGGATTCTTCAACCCGTCTAGTTTTGACTTTCTAAACTTTTCTCATTGAATCATATTTCTTGAATATCTTCTAATCCTAACCTCTCCGATTACTTCTAATACCTTTACTACCTCTTCTACTATTGGATTTGAATTGACAATTATATCTCTGTGCTGATAAGGTACGGCAACATGAACTAATGTACTTACGCACGAAGTTCTACATTGCATCTGACTGACTGAAGTTTTTTTCTATTTCCGTTTTTGATATCTTTGTTTCAAAGCATGGAGCCTTAAACTGATGTACTATTGTTCTAGGTTTGCTATTAGGCGACCTTGAGATTTATACATCGTGAAATATATTATCCTGTTCATAAAATACTTGAGTGTCCTATGGATCGTATTAAAATAATTGGGTTTGCTACTAAAAATTTCCAGTGTTCTGTATCCTTTCTATTCAGGATTGCTCATTTGATCCTAGCAGATCCTTGGGGTTTTGTCGAGGATCCTCTTAAAGTCAAAGTTCAGTCGAATAAAAGTGCCGGTGAAGCATGGATTTCCTCAACTTTACGTCATCTATCTGGTCGCTTTTATCCCTTGTCCTTCCTCCGTGCTGCCGGGCCTTTCGGGCCTAGCCTGATACACTATTTTCGTCAAGACCTAAGAAGGTTTTTCGACCAAAGACCGATTCGCGCTGGAGAGGTGAGATTTTTTTGATAAATTTTGTTCTCCAAATATTTATTATCACCTTTTGAATCGGAGAACAATCTAACTGATATAACAATTTTTCAAAGAAAAAGTATACTTAATTAGCTCACTGTACAAACTTAGTGGTCCGGTTATATTCTATAATTCATAGCACTGTATTCACAAATTTTACATACCGGCTAATTAAGGGTTGGTTGTTGTTCATATTTCTTAAACTTGTTAAACAAACTCATTGACTTGGTACTTGGGTATGTGCCAGCCGAAGTAGATGAAATGGAGTTCAAACCTAGAAAGTCAAACGGCTGAAATACTGACCCATCATTTCTCCGTCTTGTGCAGCTTATTGTAGATTACAATTTAATCCGTTTTGGGATTCAGTTGAAATAAGTTCATTCAGTCCAGAAATATTATAGAAACATATTTTTCATGTCATTTTAAATTATTCATAGTTAGTTGTTTGTTTATTTGACTTAAGCACAGATCTATCTGTTTCTCAACCAGTCCAGCGTAATTTAGATTTTTCATAATGACTGCTTATTGATAAACGGTTATGATTCTGTTAAGTGTATTATATTTTACTATATACATAACCTATGACTAGATTACAATAAAAATAGAGACAAGCACGCTAAGAGGTTGCAACAGTTCATGGAGCCATAGATTGTGTGTCTGTATGTGCATGACTTTTTAATTAGGGTGTACGTGGTAACTGTAACCTATGACTAGCAACCTTAGATATTATTATTCCGGATTGTTTTAATCCAGATAAATCCTTTCTTCGATTCTGTAAATCTTTAGTCCTAACACTATATCATGTTTTTAAATTTCCTAACAATGTATTTAATTGTTACTAGAGCGAATAGAGAAATATGAATATAATCTACAAAGTTATAATTATTTCCAGAAACACTAGTTTTTATTGAGCTGATAGTATGGTTTATGCATGCATATATATACCCAGCCGTAGCTGCTACCTTGACATAGTGGTCGGGTTTGCCTATCGTGAGTAACAACTTAAGGTCTGATGGCGAATTCCTACTGCTTACTGTAGAGAGGTGTGACAGCAGTAAAGTCTTTTCCTCGCACAGTCAACATCTGCGGCAATGCTGCCTTCTCACAACAAAAAGGAAGAGGTTAGAGAAGAGCCACCCTAAAAGTGTCACACCTATTCTTACCTCAAAATTTCCCGTCTCCGGCGGTAAGGCCTTCAAAAGAGCGGAGCTAACACTTCGAAAACTATATGTTAAAGGACCGTGTGTGACCGGCCACAAGCGGTTGTCCCTTGAGTTCTGTGGTCACGCTCCCAGGTCTATAAAACCAACGTTAATCTAACCTCCTTTTTAGATTCCTTAATAAACGCCTTCACACGACGTAGGCGGTCGGGAAATGACATCCTCCCTCATACCCATAACAGCACACGCGACCAACTTGGTCAAAATCATATCCTCCTTTCACCTGTTAGTGACTCTCTTATTTCCACGACTAACACTTCCCATAATCCTTCTTCAACTCGCGTCGCTAACGCAAACAATCGGAGTACGCAAAACGATATTCCTGGTCTCCTGAAACCCCGTTCTAAGCTACATGTTGGCGCTTTTATTATTCGGACGTTGTGTCAAATAGGATAACAGAGTGCGTAAGATAGGATTTTAGAATCTCTCATCAATAATGTGTGATGCGGCTCCGAAATATACACACATGATTTGACTACAGTCATCTGTTTGACCTCGCCTTGTCAGAATAAAAAGGCGGTAAGATTCACGTTTCGTTATGTAGAGACCCCATCGTTACTACCAGTAGCTTCGCTAGTGTAGACGTAAGATTGATTTCAAAAGCAGAACTATCTCTCCTAGACTGACTGGGCTCCAGTAAACAGTCACTTGTGCATTGTCTGGCTAAACGCGACTGTAAGAACTCGGGAAGGTAGGGACACTCGCCGTTGTTTCTTGGTTGTCTCTGCCTGCGCTCTGACTGGTAGCAGCTCAGACTATGTAACGGATGAATTTTACATAAATCTTTCCAAAGTTGTTCGATGGCTACGCGCTCTGATGTAATGATAATGGCTGGTGATTTTAATGCTCAGGTAGGTAGACTAAGAGGAACGGAAAGACACCTTGGTGGATTTTATGGTGTCGCTACTCAAAGAACGAAAAGATGGTGACCGTCTGCTGCAGCTACGTGTAGATGATCGCGTATTTCCGGAAAGCATCAACATTAGGCTTCGGGAAAACATATTTTGACATGGCGACTCGACACTGGACCCAACTAGACCATATTCCCATCATCCAACGTTAGAGAGGCTCAGTAAGTGACTAAATCTCATTCTGAAGCACATGTTTAGGCAGATCACTCTCTAGTACGAGCACATATTTTTCTGGATGTATATATATAATTGGAGTCCGCATCGTGAAAAACCAACTTACAAACCTGGTAGTACATTTCAGACCGTTTGTTATCAGTGTTTATCAAGTGAGTTATTTATTTATTTGAATTTTCGAAATGCGAGTAAAATTGGGTTCCTGTTGGGTGTATAATGAGACCCTAATTACAAACAATTGAGGATTTTTTGACACGAACGAAACCAATCGGAACTCGATAAACCGGATGCTTGATATAAAAACAATTCAGCGTTAATAATACACACAACACGTGTAGAAGACGGTGTGTTTTATATCGAAAATAAAAAAACATTCACCGACCTTGAGACGCATAACCAAACTAGCCGACTGAAAGTGATAACAGCCAATCAAGTAACAGCAAAGGCCACCACAGACAATAATTGGAAAAATACTGTCTTGATTATTCTTTAAGAGAAGGATGAACGTGTAATAACAAGCAACTAGATAACCTGAGCAGTTTACACTGTCGAATTGTTAAGGCATTACTCAACTTGAACGTTCCGTCTCTCCGTAATCGAAATTATTTTTTTTATAATGTTAGACACTAATCTTCAGTAAACGATAATATGTGATTTTAGGTTACAGTTCTAATAACTAACATTTTTTTAATTCCTAAGATGATAGAAGTATCTCGACCAGAAAAATCTGAATCCTTCCAGAATATTTCTCACGATAATAACATTCAGTCAACGAACGGTGAAGATGATGTTTTCGAGCCCCCGTCTCTGATTCATAAAACAGTGCAGGCTAACCGGACTGTCTCTGATAAATCTAGTTCCGATACATTGGATTCCATTGATTTCGAAGCTCTGGATGGTTCTGTAGCTTTGGATTACGTCTATCATATTAACTGTCAGAATCCAAGGTATTGTTCTTTCAAATAATACTTTTTATTGATTTCTTAGTTGGACACAACTGTCCACCATTCGATTTCTGTATTTCTTCGCACACATAGGTTCGTGATATCCAGCAGTAGAAAAGGAGTAAACTGTTAAAGACATTACAACTGTTTGTTACTCCTGACTTTTCTGGAGCTGGAGATTATTGCTTTCTAAGAGATATTTTATAGATGCTGTATTACACCAGGATCAGTGTTCGTATATAGACAATAAAAACTATTTCTCCTGCTAAATGTTTAAGCAATTTAACGTAAGAAGTTAGATTTTCGGTCTGCTTTCCAAACGTAATTAATTTTGAAACAGATCAACTGTAGCCTTTTGTAATAACTGATTTCAATCTATTATGACTGGTTCTTTTAATTCACCTAATGCTCTATATATTTCTTGAGTATCTGATATATTTATGGTCTTTTAGTTTTAGAGGTGATGATTAGTGAATATAAGGACGCAGTTTTAGTCAAAGGACATTGTTTTTACTTTATTACTAGGCATTTAATGAATGTGTGGGAAGTCACCAGTCATGACCTTATTCTCTTTTCTATAAGCAAATGTTTGGAGCTTAGGATGTGACGAAGCGAAATGTTTGAACGTTTTAATTCATCAACCATTAATCACATCAAAGAATGAAAACAGTTACCATGTTATGACATAAAATTCATCACAGTTAAATGTGATATAGCTGTAAGCTATTATTATTGCAAAAAAACAACTCTATTTTGCTTGTGGGTATATTCTGACCATGTAAACAGATCACGGCATTTAATAACTTTATAATCACATAGATAGACCAGGTATTCATGCTACGTCAGGTCCTAGATCAAAGACACATTCAGATTTGTATTTCTTGACCTTAAGGTGGCATTCAGCTCCATCGATCGTGAGGTTCTGTGGCAGTGTCTGTTATTGAAAGGTGTACAAAAGAAGTACCATAACCTTATAGAAGCTCTCTACCCGAACACTACTGATTGAGTGAGAACTTATGGCGAACTGTCATCGGAATACTTTATGTCGAGTGGTGTCCGTCAGGGTTGTCCACCTTCTCCGTTCTTGTTTAACTCTGTCAGTGACGTGCCTTTAGAGATAAAATTTTTATCATCTGACTTTTCATGAATTGAACTTCTACCAAGAGATTATGCCAATGAAATAGTTCTTTTTCGTGTAGACGCTGACGAAATGCAGTCTTCACTGGGATGCGATTCTCCCCTGTCGCAATGCAAAGTTTTGCTTCAGTATTAGGTTGCATTGGCACCTAAACTAGTGATAGGGAGTGAAGTAGTTGAGCGTGTCGACGGCCTCACTTATCTTGGAAGTCTCATCAGTGCTGATGAGACGAAATCTCAGTATGGATACAGACGGATCGACTGGCTTTTGCCAATTTGAGTCACTTATGGCACAGGCGAGATATCCGTTTGCTAATCGAAGGACGAGTGTAGTGCGCATCCGTTCTCTTCGTCCTAATTTATGGGTGTGAAAAATGGCGGGTAAGAGTAGAAGATATTCTTAGATTACTTGTTTCCGATCATATGTGTCTCCGAAGCATTGCTCGTTTATCTTGAGACTATTGAGTAGGCAATGCGGTTCATAGGAAACAAAAACTAGGTAGGGAGGGCATATCAATAGATGCAGCATTAAAACCTCATCAGTTGAGGTGCTTAGGACATATCTTACGAATGCCCACCACCGGCTGCCTCGACGAGCGATTATACTTCTGGATTATACTTTTTGAACCCTAGCCTTCTCCATTACCGCTAATACTTCTACTACTATGGAATTTGAACTGACGATTGCGTCTCTGTGCCTATGTGGTATGGCAACTTGAACTAATGTACGTGCGTACGAAGTTCTACGTTGTAGCTAACTAACTGACTGACTGCAATCACATTTTGTTGATCTCACAAGTAGGCTAGAGTCTGGTTCTCATGGCCAGTGTACAACAGACACTGATTATCTTTTCTTTTCGTTGTCGTCACAAATGATTTTTTGTATATAGTTTTGTATTTGATTAACAGCCGGCCGATTATTTATTATTGCTGTAAATATTATGTTGCGTAACAATGCATTTTAGATTTCTCTTTTGATCTTTTACGTCTTTCGACACTATTAAGATTACATCGCCCACCATGTAGTATTATCATTTCTGTATAGAGTCTCTAAAATGCTTTGTAATTCAACTGTCACTTAGTAAACTGCTTAACTTGAGAAACCTAATATATCAGTCTATCTTTCAAAAATTCTTCGTTACTTCCATTTTTTGTATTACCGTTCTTTACAGTCCTTTGATTTGTAAGAGCACTACGTAGAATTAATTTCTACTTATCAGCGGACAAATCATCACAGTATCTCAAATGCTTGACACCATATTTTATTGATTTACTAAACCAATTTTTTAATAAAGCATGACATTAGTGTTTTGGCTGCTTAAATATTTTCAACACTAGCGTACCTTTGTACTCCAATGTATATATATATATATATATATATATATATATATATATATATATATATATAGTCGCTATTTTAGGTACAATTTTTGACCTGAAATTAAATTAATCATATCACATTGTGGGTCACCTTTGATAAAAACAAGGATCCTATACGATAAAAAAGTTATTAGACACTTTTAGTTTAATGTAGCTATGATCCCTGTTGTTATGGCGATTAGTATCTGAAATGTAAATGTTTGCATAATTTAGTCAAATATCAAAAGAAAGAGAAAGGGTGAGAGTGAACAGTTTCGTTTAACCTATCTTGACTTAAAGTGAATCTATGAGCTACTGAGAAGACTGAGGCAGGCGCGGGAAATTGTAATGTGCAAATTTACACTCTTAGTCAATTAAAAACGAAAACATTACATTGAATACTCTATTTGCACACCATCTTTCAGTCGTGACTTCTAACAAGTCTCTCTCTCAGTCTTTCTGATCGCCGTACAGCCGTCTTCTTTATCAGTGTTTGTGGCTCACCCTCTTGGCGCACCTGGAACCACCTTCGGAGTTCACTGGCATTCACGCGTTTCTGTTTGTTTCCTTTCTGGATCGTATACACTGCGCCGCGTCTCTCGGTGACTACATACTGTCCCTTTCACTTCGGGATCAGCTTACCTGACCGTGTCCCTCTTCCTGTGGTATGTTTCCGTTCTCTACACTTCACTTGGTCTCCCACTTCAATTGATCTCCAGTTCTTTCTCTCCTGTTCTGACTTCTCCATGTCTGATGTTTGTTTCTCTCTCACATTCCTGATTGCTTGTCTCCGCTCTGTTCTCAACTTTCTTGTATTCCATCTCTGTTGTTGCGGCCAGGTTTTATCATGCGTTGGTAGTCTCGGCCGTCTGCCGTACATCAGCTGGAACGGTGACTTCCTGGTTGTTCCCTGTGCCGAGGCACGATGTGCCAGCAAGATTAATGGTAATTCTTTCTCCCAGTTACCCTCTTTAGATGCTAGCCATTCCTTTAGCGTTCGGTTATTCCTTTCCGTTAACCCATTCGTCTATGGATGATACGGCGTTGTTCGTACTCTCTTAATACCTAACTGTTTTAGACGGGACTTGAACTCATCACTCTCGAAACAGGGACCTTGATCGGTTAATATTATCTTTGGTATTCCATGGTCCGCCACAATGTGCCACATTACCGCTTCAGTCACCGTCCTTGCACGTTGGTCGGCCATCAGCACGGCATTTACCCATCGTGTGGGATGCTCAGTCATCACCAGCAGGTACTGGCTACCACTTGTCGTCTGTGGGAACGGTCCCATAACATCCACTGACCACAAATCACCAACTGCTGTTACTGGGATTGACTGCAATGGCGGTCGTATGCATCGATCCCCTTTCATTAGTTGATATCGCTGGCATGCTAACACATATCGTGCGACATCGTCTCTCATACCTGGCCAGTACTCACTTTGTCGCAGCAAATCAGTTGTCCTTGCAATACCTGCGTGCGCTACCTGGTGACATTCACGAATCATCTCCTGGCGCAGATCTTTTGGGATTATTGCTACCCAATTCTCGTCATCATCCCGCCAGGTCAGGACTCCATATGCGTTCGCTCTCAGTCGTTCCTTTTGCTTAAGTAACATTATTACCTCCTTGTCCGTCGTTCGTTTGTCTACGTCTTCTCCTTCTTTTATCACTCTGATTACCTCTCGAAGGTTCGGGTCAGCTTTCTGTTGCCGGATGAGTTCTAATGGGTCTCCATCTAAACTATTCACCGCGTATGCTGTCACTGGAAGGTCATCTTCCATGTCTGATCTTGACAAGTAATCCGCCATTACGTTCTGTTTTCCTGGAACATGGCCGATACTGAAGTCGTATTCTTGCAGACGTATCATCCACCGCGCCAACTTCCCTCGGGGGTCTCTTGCTGTTCTCAACCACTGCAGGGGTTTATGGTCAGTCTCAATGTGAAATCGTCTACCTAAAAGGTACGGTCTCCATTTCTCTACTGCCCACACGATTGCTAGGCACTCCTTTTCGATCGTTGAATACTTCTGTTCGGCGGGTGTGAGAACGCGACTTGTGTATTCCACCACTCTATCAGCCTGACTCAATACCGCACCTATACCATGATCACTTGCATCTGTGGCCACTGTAAACAGTTTACCGGGTTCAGGCAGTCGCAGCGTCATCTGACGATCGTCTAGCATGTTTTTGATTCGGTTGAGCGTTTGTTCGGCAGCCTCAGTCCATGTAAACTTGGTGTTGCTCAGCAACTTATATAAGGGCGCTGCTATTTCGTTGAAATTATTGACAAACCGACTATAGAATGCCGCTCTTCCCAGGAACTGTCTCGACTTCCTTCTCGAATTAGGTACTGCAATATTTTTTATGGTAAGAATTTTCTCTGGTAATGGCTTTATTTCTCCATTTCCCACTTTATGTCCCAACAATATGACGCTGTTTTTCGCTATCTGCGACTTTTCCTTATTAATTCGAAGCCCAAATTCGCCAATTCGCTTTAAGACCGCTTCCACATACTTGACGTGATCTGTTTCCGTCGGGCTGTATACAACTACATCGTCGCCATATACCTCAACATTATCTAGATTCTTAAGCAGCAGCGTCATCAATCTTCTGAACGTGAACGGTGCACCAGCCAACCCGAACGGCATTCGTTTAAATTTATATTGTTTATCCCGTATAGTAAATGCTGTCTTGTTGCGATCGCTATCTTTTATAGGTAGTTGCCAATAACCTGACCGTAAATCCAGCACTGTAAACACCGTGGCATTCTGTAGTCGATCTAATGTTTCTACTACTGTTGGCATTGCGCACGGTTTCAGGTCAGTTATATTATTCAGTTCTCTAAAGTCGACGCAAAATCTATACTTTCCATTGGGTTTCTTTACCAAGAGTACCGGTGAGCTATACGGGCTGTCTGCTTCCTCAATTATACCTTCCTTCAACATTTCCTGGACCTGTCGATTTTCCTCGGCCTCTAAATGCACCGGGACACGACGTGTTGCAAATATATTTACTCGGTCGTTCTTTATGGGAATTTCATGCTTTACTTTGTCACAAAATCCATACGGCTCCCCATCTCCAGTGAGCCACTTCGCTACTTTCATGTATTGGCAATGAACCGTACTTTGTGACCATTTTACCGCTTCTCAAGTCAATTATCGCTTTTACCTCTCTTAGGAAATCTGCTCCTAATATCGGTCTCGATAAGCTTGTGGTTACCACGAACGGAAAATTTATCTCAGCTCCACTCATTTTTACAATACTGTTAGATACCCCCAACACCTTTAGCATATGCCCTCCTATGGTGTGGACAGCTAATGTACATGGTTTGATTGTCTTACATTGCTCTTTGCTTATTAACGATATAGCTGCCCCTGTATCAATCAAACACACTAACTCCCGTTCATTTATGTACACTCTGGCATAAATTGCCCCTCTATCCACCAGTGCAAGGACCTCCCGATTCCTAGGGTGGAAAGAAAACACGTTATAATGTTTAAAATATCGTCGTCGTCGTCGTCTTCTTGGACAGTTTATCTTTCAATGTCCTGCCTCTCCACAAGCGTAACATTTATCGTTCCTTTTATGATTTACTCGTAATGCTGCTATCTCACGCTCTAACTCCTCAATCTTCTTCTCGAAAGTATTTATCTCCTGCTTTTCGCACCCGACCGGAGCTACTGTTCGTGTCATCAGCTGACGAGTCACCTTCGCCAGTTCACCGATGTCCATACGTTGTGCTGCATTTACTAATCTCAGCTGCTGGGACACAGCGGCAGGCACACTCTCAATAAATTGCGACGCCAGCAATTGTGCCTCCGACTCCTCATCGATATTCGGCAAAGCACGGCGCAGCAACCTTGTGAGTTCCACAGCAAGCACCAGCGGGTCACCATCAGCCGACAGCGTCACCAACCGGAACTTTCGCAACGCCTCCTCCCTGTCCACCGGGCTGTCGAACTCGGTCATCAGCCGCTCAGTGACCGCCTTCCATGATGTCTTCCCGCCAGCACCGTCCAGGCTGTCATATACGGCCTTCGCCCTTCCTCTCAGCAGCGTTCCCAGCACCACCAGCTTCGCCTTCGGTTCCTTCACCCCCACCAGCTCCGCCACGGCCTCAAACTCCTTCAAGAAGCTCCGCACATCCCCGTCCTCAAACTCCTTCGGCCATGGAATCTTCATCCTTTGCGTAGGCAGCGACACCAAATGTAGTGAATGAGAACACAGGTGGGGCAACCGAATTGTATTTAACGAAAATTACAGAGTTACTCAGTAAAATCGGAAAACCATATCGTAAATCGTTCATTTGCAAAAGATCAGTTCATCCTATGGAACTGGACTGTTTCTGTTGCCAAACATCAATCCATTGTCACTATTCATGCGTTTGATACAAATTCCATTGTTTTCTAACTCTTCCTTTCTTGATCTTCCCCCCGTATTATGCTACCAGACTTTACGTTGACACTCACGTTATATACTACTTATAAGTAGTTCGCACCACACTACCAGCTCCGCCACGGCCTCGAACTCCTTCAAGAAGCTCCTTAAATCTCTGTCTTCAAACTCCTGAGGCCATGGGGTCTTCATCCTGTGTAGAGGCAGCGACACCAATTGAGAAGACTGAGGCAGGCGCGGGAAATTGTATTGTGCAAATTTACACTCTTAGTCAATTAAAAACGAAAACATTACATTGAATACTCTATTTGCACACCATCTTTGAGTCGTGACTTCCAACGCTCCATCCTTCTTCCATTCCTGCTGTTGCTTCCTTTACTTCTTGCTTTCACTCCATTTGGTTTCCGTTTTCCTCTTCTGACCGTGAGACTTCTTTCACGTCCCTTATTATACTACTTATATCGTTCGTATAAGTAGCATACACCACACTACTATTGACGTTCGATCTTGCATTGTACTCCTTCATAATAATTACTTGTCCAAGAATTTTCCGTAGTGTTCTCAGACTGTCAAATGTTTTCTCATAATCAAGGAGGTTGACGTACCGTGGTGAGTTCCATTCAATTACTTACTATACAATGATTTGGTTAGTACACTATATGTCTTTACAGATTCTAGCCTGCTAATCTCGCCTTTAGTTGTCTGCTGAAACTATCATTTTGTTTAGGGATCTTCTGTTGAAGACGTCTCCTGGTATTGATAGTATTGTGACTCCTCTTTAGTTCTCGCACTTGCTAGCACATAAATTTGCGAATCTCTCACAATTTTCCTCCCTTTCTCCGAGTCCATTATGTATTCGTATCCGGTGTTGTCTATTACGACCTTGGTATTTGGATCTCTCATTAGAATAGTCGGATGCTTTCTTGAGCATTTCTGAACGATTGACTGCATAATCGCGTATAACACTGAATGGCATTCATTATGATCACTCCCTTCTTTGTTTTGAAGGATGGTTAGATGGTCCTAGGTCCATGAGGTTCCCATGTTAAGTGCCTTTTGGGCTTATTTGGACAGCGCCAGTCGAAATTCTTGTGTGTGTGAGGTATTTTCTTCATGGCCGGAGTACTGCAGCACCTCTCCTAAAGCTAATCTTTTCCTTCTAGCTTGCTCCTAACAGGTTTCACATATTTCCAAGCACTTCCAGGTTGTATCTTCTTATTTCAGAAGCTACTTGAATGGTCCCTCTGGTTTCCAGTGTTACTGTGTGAATATTTCGCTCACTTTTATCAATTGTTGCTCTGATTTATCGAAAGTGACATCGTCATCTCGATTTCTGAAGATTCTTCACTTCCATTGTGAGGTGGTATAACTTCTAGGGCATAGTTTAAGTGATTAAAATTGCTTTATGGTTAGTTTTTTAGCAAAGTTGCTTTCTATGAAATTGGATTCCTAACCGCATACCCAACCGTATTGTTTCTGAACCTGGAATCAATAGTAACCATAGATGGGCTTCAGGCTGAGTTTCTACATTGCACATGACTATCACTGATGGAGCCGCGGTAGTTGGTTTGTACTTATGGTACTACTTGAATCAAGATCTTTTCTTTCAATACATTACCCTACCTCGGCATTATTTACAGTGTTTTCAGTGAACACCTGCAATTCCTCGTACATAACATTGTTCAAACACAATCTTTAAATATCAAATCCAGTTATGTAGATACGTTAGCACCCGCCATTGTTGTAGAAACATTTCGATGATCCAAAACGCAAACCTTTTGTTTATCAAACGTCGAATGATCTAGTGCAACATGAATAGTTTACATGGAGCATATTAAGACGATATCGTCAGTATTCAATAGATCTATCTCTAGGTAATAAACGTGTATCAACACAGTACTCACTCTGATGTTGTTTATATTGCGTACTCAATAACAGAGCAATGGTTAAGTTCGATAGCTCTCCCAAACACCACTGTGTGAAACAAAGGAAGGTTTCAATGTGCGCTCGCTTTGTCTGCAGTGGTTTATATTGGTGTTTCGAAATTTTAGAATGTTGATCTACACCTATATGGCAAACCATTTCAAGAAACAGCCGTCTCTAACGAACCGCTGTCAGTCATAATTTCTAGAAAACAATGATGTTTCCATTCGAAACCTACGATGATGAAGCGCTTAGCCTGCTTGCTGGTCAATTCCTTACGTGTTTGACGTAGTCTGTGTAGAATAGCTGGAGCCAATATATTTTAACGCTTCCAGTAACAGACTTCTACTCTTATATATATTATGTAGACCCTATCTTGGGCTAAATATGCAAGTCCTTTCATTTAATTTTGATACAATACTCTCCTTTTATTATATTTAATCACAGTATATAATACAGTAGATAAATAATGTATCAGGACACCCTGTTATAACATTATACGTAAACGGTCCACTTTTGTTCTGTCGAATATGGTCTTTTGTGGATTAGGTGAGAATTTGAAATGCGAATTGCGATGCTAATAATAATGACTTATTTCGTATTCTGTGATTCCTAAAATTAGTTTCTTATCCAGCGATTTATAGAGATAGTATATTGGTGGCTTGTTTTAATAATATTATTATTTGATTAGTTTGTATGTGTTGTTCACGGACTCGGAAAATCGTGTAACGTCTTATAGACTTACTTTTCTTGTTTGATAATTATTCAACTCAGCAAACGCGAGATTTTGTTTACTTGAGTTTCAAAGGAAGATATCTTCGCCTCAAGACCAATTCTGTTACTCAGTTTCGCAAATTAAGTCTAGTAAGTCCTGAATTTGAACGTGTAACCGATTTGAAACTTCGTATTTCCATGAGTATATCACAGTACCATTGTTTCAGTCTAAAACAAAGCGAATTGCTTTCCGCTTACTAGTTTTTCTCTCACTAAACACGCACTAGGTACGTTTTGTATCTCAAAAATATTCTTTACAGAAATAATTTATAGAGATATTAATTATGATGTGATAACCACTATTACAAAGAACTGCTTATCATTCTTATTGCACTATATTATTCAGATTCTCCTTTTACAATTGATGATGCAATTTTCATTTAAGTGGTGAAATAGGATTCAAATCACTATGTGGTTCAGTTGGCTGGCCTCAACGCCCAATGTTAGACAGAATTGGACAACTTGATCCTAATGTTCCCATCACCTTTATATATGGTTCTCGATCGTGGATTGATTTATCATCAGCATATAAAAGTCGTGTGTTGCTTCCCACTTCGTACGTAGATGTAAAGGTAGGTAGCCATTTAGTAATCTTCTTCATGAATTATCTTGACTGCCGCACTAATCAAACACATTGTCCGTCGAGTTTTACCATTTTGTTCGTATGAATTCAACTTTTGCTTACAAATGAGTTTGCACTGTTCGATGAATCATTAAAAGGGTGGGTTGACTGAACACGACGTTAAAACGATATAAGATATCTGTCATCTTCGAAAATCGTCCATCCATCAACGCAAGAAAACATGCTTGCAGTGATGTTGAAACTAACGGATGTCCGCCACAACCATTATTCACATTACTAGAATCACCAGGTTTTGTGGGTCTGGAGTAAGTAAACCATACAATAACCTGAGCAGCTAAAGCTCATTGACAAGATGGAGTGGGTAACTGACTATCAGAATCTAAACATGCATTGGCGTCTCCTCGCAGGCCTCATTGTTAAAAATGATAAGTTCGATGAAAAATCGAGAATAAGAATATGTGAGTATGATCATCGATAGACCATATATCATACAAATAAATTAGTTCTTACATAAATGTCACATTGATTGTAAGTATGTATGAAACTAATTTAGGAAGATCAAATTATGTCGTAATACAAATCAGTCCACTTATTTAATTGGTCGTTCGTATTTCTTATCTTAAACTAAACTGACCAAGCATGTGTATATATATCTGCATACTTGTGCATTTTGTTTTTGTTCAGACAACGATTGCGTAACTCAATATGTATGCATTTTTTGATTAATATAAGAACATGTAAAACAACTGGATGGATGTTCTCGTTCATATATGTGTATTCTGGAAACACTGGCTAAAAATAATCAATAAACGATAAATGATAAATGCTAAACTTACAGATATATCTGTTTGTTTATATGTTAGCATGTATATTTTTACGCATTCTGAGAGACAGGATGTTTAATAATGTTTTAAATACCGACCGTTGCATAGTTTTGATCAACAGTACTACAATTTAGTTACTGTTTCCCAAGAGTATTGTGATCATATGAATATATCGTTCCACCAAAACATCTTAATAAATGAACTTATGTTGCATTTGGACACTGTGATTAGTTCATTCTCGTAGGTAATTGATTCTAGGCTGCGGGAAATTTAATGTTGATTATTATCAACGTTTCTGTTTTCTACGTAGTCGAATTGACTTTATATGGTCATGGCAATAAGTCTTCTAATCGGACGGGAACAGTTAATTCCGGTGTATTCTCTACTATTTGTTTAATGCTCAGATTTTTAGCCTGAGTCTTGAGTTTTCAAACGACTAGTCACAATGGGGAATCTCAATGCAGCAACTATCTTTTGGATAGTCGCGTAATACTTCTGTCTACTATGAAGTTCCGTGGTAATCTGTTTTATGAGCTAGTTACTAATTCATATACCACTGGATCAAGTGGAGGTGGATGTTGGCTAGCAGTTGAATCTAGGACGCACGTTCTTCCCTATTCGCGACTCGTCAGCTGGACTTGCCTGCACTCTAGAACTCGGACCTAGTACCTTTCGCTTCAAAAGCCACCGCATTATCCACTTAGCTACTGGATCCAGATGGCCACTCGCTTGTACAATAGGGTGAAAATTAATCCATTTGTATTGGTTGTTTGGATCTTTTCCCATTGACGTTCAGGACTGATCAATTGCGGCCATGAAATTTTTATTTTAAAGGTAGTTGGCTCGGTGTATGATAACAGTGGTGTAGTTGAATGAGAGTATGAAGGATTCATTTGATCTTTGGGGTTTTCCATGAACACTCATTCGTATCTCAAAAAACCTGATCCGAATTATCACTTTCACGTTTCATAGTCTACTACTTTTACGCAGTTGAATATGAAGTGCATATAGTATTGTCTACTTTCTATCATTATACATAAAGTATCACTGTTTGAAACGGGTTGAATTATTGCTTCTAATAATTCAAAATAACGTTTCCCGATTGCCGTTTGTAGCGTACTTTAAGGTATTATATAGAAAGTCATTTTTTTCATCGGCTTGTTGTTTCGTTCAGACATCCTTTCGACATGCGCTGTTTCAAAATATTTATCTTATTTATTAAAATTATTGTTCTTTGTATTGCATTATTATTATGGTTTCAGTAATTTAAAAAGTGATTTATACACCTATATTTAGGTAATCGAAGGAGCTGGACATCAAGTGTATGCACAGATGTCTGAAGAATTCAATGCTTATGTGAATATGATTGGACACCGTGTTGACAATGGTGATTCATTCACCCCGGAAGTTTATAACTCAAATCCGGACTGCACGAAAACTGCATCCATTAATGTTACGAATAAAACCATCGAAAATGTAGAGTCTCATGGTAGCAATTCTTCCACAAAGGGATACAATAGCCGAAGTCGCCGTAAGCGTTCGTCCGGTTCGTCACTTCAAGGCGATACTTCACAGCACGCTCAAACTAATCGTTATATCCAAGACAGTAGGTATGTTTTGCAAAACGAAGAAGCAAGTGACGAAGCGTCTGACTAATCAGGCCTATTATTCGTTATTAGGTATGCAATATTTTCGCCGCAATCGAGGTTTGTCTCGCCAAAAGATTAGATATGACGCAAATTTTTTAAACTGTAAACTACTTACTAACGTATGTCATAAAATACAATAACAAAACTGTTTTCACAATGTTTAAGTCATTTTAATTCAAGTGTTTATCTTCTGGTTTCTTCACTGTTTTCTTCATTTTATGCTTTAATTTTTGATCTTTCATTAATTTCATTAAACTTTAACTGTCGCTGCTGACATAATCAGTTCAACTAGGGACATTTGCTGCTCGATAATAATAATAATAATAATAATGACATGTAAGATTCATAAATGTTTATTACTTATTTCAGGTAACTATAAAGCGATTTGTGATAATGAAAGAGTTAAATGCAGAATAATTGTTGTTTTTTGCTTAGAATTAGTTCTTTTCAGAGTATAAACAATTCCTCTTAATTCTTTCGGTCGAATTGGTCAGATCAAAAGTATGTATCATTGATAACGATTACGCAAGAAAGATTATTTCCTCATTCATTTAGGTATTATTTTGTATGGTACTTTTACTTTTTTACTAATCATTAATTTTCATGATTTGATAACTATTTTTCAATCCAAGTGTTAATACGATAATAAATCATGTAGTTAATGAACAGTAATTTTTTTATTATGCGTGCATCGCAGCCACTGAAGTAGTATAAGTCGGGAAAATGGATACTGCATTCAGTGTTTAGCAAGCTTTTCTATTAAACATTTTAAATAGACTAGTCGTTTTCGCTATTTATACTCATCATCTTGGTCCTAAATAATGTGAACAATTTCGCCAAACGGTATATTGTGAAAACAGTGTATAGTGTTTAAATATTTGTCCGCTGAAGTAGAGTTTGTCTTTCGTTTGCAGTAAGTTTTATGCAGACCAAGCAGAAGCTCAAATATTTGAACATCTTAGAATTTATAAAGTTATATGAGAATTCAGAATGTTTTTTGATGCAGAAATCAGCTTAAATAGCGCAGGGTGAAGTGAAAGCTTGGCCTGTATATTACGTTTTAAAATTATTTCCATAAATTGTGACTTAAACCATGCGTTGTTTCTGATGACATGGATACCTATTTCATGAAAAACAGGTTACGAAGAGTGAGTAGCATGTCGTGTCGCCGGATCCTCGATTCTCGCTCTCGTTTTCCAACTAGGTAAACTCGTAATAGTTCAAGCATATCGAGTTGACGTGTTTACGTGCAGGCGTAACACAGTTCATTGACAGTTTTCAGATCTTCTAGTGCCATAATACAAGTAATATATATTTGCATCGAGCAGATTAACGTTGTGCTGATTGTGGAATTACAGAAAGAAGTTCAAAACAATCTGCAAGCTAAACTTCGAAAACAAGTGGCTGGGTGCTAAGTTCCGTTATATTAATCTATAGTCAATTCGAATATGTTCCTCTATATGACTAAAGATCATTAGTCAATCACTCATACGCAACAAAAATTCTGGCGCATGTGTACAACAGTTCAAGATGTTTCAAGACGAGAGACGAATGTCAGATATATTTCGAAATGTCTAACAGATTTCTTAGGATTCGAAATAGTATGAGTAAGATATAAGTGGTCATCAGGTCAGAGAAGCTTCCGTTATGTCTTAAAGATTTTGCGCATGTTTAGGTGATTGTTAGAGTATAGTTGTAACCAGTGGTCATCATTACATTCTTAGAAAAAGTGTCATGGGCTCCATTTTATTGTCCTAGCCTATTGGGACAGAAGTTGGAAAGCCTCTGGTGCAATCTGCCACTTACTTTGCTTAGGCTAAAGTCAATAGGAGTGCAAGGAAACCACAGGCGATTAACAGTGCATCTTGACGCTCTTAAGTTTGCACGATTCTATTCAATCGGCTAAACAAGTGCCTGTCGAATGAAATCTAGTTCAAAAATGTTATTCCCATCTTTTGACTTAATGATGTATTTACATTCCACTAGCCATGATTAGTCGTTTTACGGTTTCCATATGCCTGAGGGGTGAGTTGTGTTGGTCAAATAAATGGTTACTTGGGTCTTATATGGAGTGGTACTATATACATCTGTGGTACATGATTGCGGGATTCTAACTGATAACAGCTGCTAGGGGGCCACTCGTACAGCCTTTGACCTAGAGATCTGATCTACAAGGCAGTGGAGTAACGTTAGATGTAGCCTCATGGTATTACTGCTACTTCATTTTAAAACAAAGATCTGTATAAGTAGATACCAAAATCTGCATACGCTGCATAATAAAAGTGAGATTGTGAAGAGATAAAGAAAGAACGGTGAGTATAACGAAAAAATGAATAGAAATCAGTGAAATAATGGTGAGAGAAACAGATCAATTAAGGAAAGTACTATCAGAAAGAATTCTTTCAGTCAAAGAAGTTCCTCTTATGCAAGGAAAATAAAAGAAAGTTACAACAGAACCACCAGTGGTTTCTATTTTGAGCCATGTCTGATAACGTCTCAAGCCACTAAGTTGCACCAGGGAGTCGTGAAGGACCAACAGATGCCAGTCCTGTACACCCTTCTTTCATGCCCTGACCATTTCCTCGCTTTTTCTAATTACTCTCAGACTGGTAAATAATGCACAATGTGTCATTCTCCGGGACAACATTCGTAGTACGTGTCCGAGCCGCAGAAGTCGGTGTCTCAATATAGCGACACCTATTGAGTTACCGTCTCTGCGCCCAAGCACACGTTGCCGAAGATCTGCATTACTAACATGGTGTTGCCACTAGATGCCAGTAATCCTTCGGAGACAACGGTGGTCGAAAAAGAAAGCTTTCTAATATCTTCAACTCGGAGAGACCAGGTTTCACAGTCATAGAGCGAAACTCCTCTCGCCGACGCATTGCAGACCCAAGCTTTTACAGCCAGACTAACATCACGAAGGCGCTAAAGATGAACCAGATTGGCGTAAAACGCTTTAGCTTTCATTATACATGAATTTATCTCATCGCTCACACCACCGCCAGCACTTACACAGCTACTCAGGCACGTGAACTTTTCGACTACTTCTATTTGCCAGGAGTGAGAGCAGGTTTAGGAACTTACCAGCCTTGTTGAAGTGCTTTGCATTTCCATGGTAGTCGGTGTCTAAATTCCTGGAGCCTGTGTGCACCACTCGTTTGGAATCATGGTTTTCCAACTCCCCTAGGTGGATCTTTTGTGCCCATTAATCCGGTTTAAGGGCTAGATATCCATTTTCCGTCCACCCAACTTCGTAGACAACACCCCTGGCACGAGAAGGCAGCGAGTAGGACTACCCTGACAGTGGCCATATATATGGGCATTTGGGGATTACAGTGGAAGGATATTCACTCTCGGAAAACCCGACAAAGGAACTAGACGTGATGGTAATTTTATCGAATTAGGAGAGCGGCAGCATACGCCGAAAGACAACTGCTTGAGTTCGGTCACAAGAGGACTTCTAGGCTTTTTAATGAAGTCTTCATAATTTCTACTTCCTGAGGATGGAACTCAGTGAGATATGTTACGTCTGTAGTTTCCTCCCTCGAAAGTGGGTAGACAGTGTCACCACAGGTGCACTGTGAGGAAGAAGTGGTTGACGGTTCACCTAGATACAATCAACAGCATGACTCTTCACTAGAATTCCTTTACTATTTAGTCGATATTAGAGGGACGAAAGGACTTAGATAAGCGGTCCGGCTGAGATATCCCGACTTGTCTGAGACATTGAAATGATGTTTACATTTCGTACGGATACTTCTCTCTTTCGCAGTTGAGATCGAATAAATAAGTCACTGAAATTACTAATAATTTACGAACATGAAGACCGAGAATCATTATAAAAATATAGTAATTACAAAACCACCACAGAACTATATATCAGCTCTTACCAGCATATCGACGATGAGAGAATGTTCTCTTGAATAGAAAGTTCTAACAATGGACCGGACTAATCTTATTAGACATATGGGTACTTTAGTTGAATCCTTTTGATTCGATGTAGTGTCAGCTGCTTGGCGAACAGAGCTAGTTGGTGGAAGTTTTACTACAGCGGGCGATGAATCTGGAACTGTGTTTTTAGCGCCATTAGAAGGCGTTGGAATAGAACAATTGATGGTTGTCGACATTTAAAGCAATCCTGTGTAAAATCAAGGAATTCTCGGGCATGAAAATTGATATTCAGGTATGCTTTAAACATTACAATACATCGTTACTAAATCCTTATAAGATCAATTAGAAACAGGTTATTGGTTTAGTTTTAAAAAGTTATGGGGACTGGTGAACTGTTTTAGTATATTTCAGTACAAATTCAACTCTTGGTTGTCACAATGGAGTGCCACACAACGGAATTTCCACACATTGCTGCACGACCAATGAAAGTGGAAAATATCACACGCACTTTGTAGCCTAAAAACAGCGTCAAGGAGCAAAGAAATCACAGTAAGGACGAACAGATGACGATGTTTGTTTTCATATATGTAAAGCTTCTTTTTGCATATCATAGTAAACTTTACGCTAACTACTATCAAAGGTTTACCTACTACATTTAAGTGGTAACTTCCAGTTTACTACAGATTTTTGGGTATATCCGACAACACACCTTGAATGTTGATATCTTATTAATATTCCCAACAAAAAATAACCGGCATCTCAGTATCCTAGTCAAGATGCCTCAAACATCAGAACCAAAAGACAGAGACTTTTTAACAGATAAGTACGCTTATTAAGTCAACATAAACTAGCCTCATCTTTATTTATAAAAACATGTGTAAGCGCATCAAATCAATGTTCATTAACACACCACAAAATTCTGAATATGGTCCTGAAAATCACACGGCTTAATGGCCCCAGACATTATCTTATTACTGGAGTTAGTCATGACTCTGAAATAGCGAGATGAACTGTAATGAACAAGGAAAGAGAGAATATTCAGTTCCAGAGCTTGTGTACTAATGAAGTAGATAATACAGCTTTCAAACCACACCTACTAAGGGAAAATTATCTACTACGGATGCCAACTCTCCCATTTGACTGCATATAGCGACTAGGTTAATGAACAATTGTAGTGGGTAACATTAGATGTAATACTGCTCAGAGATTTGGTAATTTCGTTCAATTGCTGGGAATTTAACAAGATTAACAAACGATCCTGAAGTGATCACATAATATATCCCATTATCTCAAAACTAACTATTAGTGTTAGTAGTTGCACAACACGTTTTTAATGAAATGATTTTGTCTTCTATATCTAAGCCGAATAGTAATTGCCGTGAAAGACGGCTCAGTCGGTCCTACTTAGCCATTGTATGGACGTTCCTATTTGGTTTTCGTCAAACATATGTGCAGCGTACCACTCCGTAGACGTAATAATAACTTTCGTGGCCTTTGACCAATATAGCTTTTTAATGGAAAGGATACTTTCTACACATAAGTTGCAATAACGCCCATTATTGGACCCTGTTCATAACGGAATTTGAAACGCACAAGACATACAGATATATCTGATAGTTAGGAAACGCACTGGCTGAATAGTTGATCAGTATCGGGGTGAACATTAGTACACAAACCCGTTTCAGCCAAATCTTCATAAGTACCGCGTGAAAGTGAGCAAGTTCAAGCTGAAAGAGAAACGTTCGACTTTGAAGCTCCCAACATCCAATATCCAATATCTTTTTCACGAGTTAGTATAAACTAGTTGATTTCTTTGCGCTCAATTCTTGTTCTTTCGGCACGATGTCCGGTTT